CCCGGGATCCGAACCCCGGCCGCCAGTAGCAGAGCGCATGCACTTAACCGCTAAGCCTCGGGGCCGGCCCTGGAGTATATTTTAATTTGACTAACCAGAAATACATTTTTAAAATTATTACCTTCATTGACTTTCTCAGGATGCCATCCTGTTGTCCAACCCAGGGAAAGTGTCACATCTGGAAAGAAGGATGTCACAGTTTCTATAAAAGGTTTTGCATCCACTACTCTGCTATTTGCATTTGGACCAGGAAGAATATCAGCATTAATCCACACAGGACGCTTCAGATGCCTCTTCACATTTTCCAAGAGCATCATGGATGGTTCTACAGCTGCCAGACTAAAAACACAGTTTGCTGTCAATGAGACATAGTCCTGAAGTAAAAGTAAAAAGTTCTTTTAGACTAGTAGTTTTAATGTTCTCAAATTCATAATGAAAGTGTAATATAATAATGCTTGAATTGAATAAAATTAAAGACCACACAGCACCAGAGGGGTAAGTTAACATATGCCGCATCCCAAAATGTTGATTCATGCTTATTACTCATCAAAGCACCCTATTACTATATTTACAGTACAAAGATTCTATAAATATGTGAATAACGACACTATTTGTGGACAGAGGTTTCAAAATTCTGTATTAGGATCACTCAGTATGAAAACAATTTAAGACAAACATTCACTCATCAAAGAATGTATAAATAAGATTTAAAAATTAGATATACTCATAACCTGCAAATTCACATTGATGAAAATACCCACAGTGCACTCAGGCACTGTGTCTCTAACACTGGCTCACGACCTTGGAGAACAGTCTCTTTTCCTTCATGTATTCTTGTGTGAGTCTGGACACGCAAACACATTTGTAAAAATGATTGCAAAGCATAAAATTACAACAGTTCCTTAAAGCTTTTATAAACTTCATCTTTTCCCCCTTTATCATAAACAGCTTTTCTGGAAACTAGAGACAACTACATTTTAGTTACTTTTAAATAAAAAAGCAGCTTCATTCTTTTTACTTCCCTACATCTATTCTGACATCTATAGATTTTGAAACAATACAGTTTTAATCAGCCTACATAATTTTTACTTTCTAAAAATATATACACAAACTTTACTGGAAAACTACACAAATAATTCTGAATCTCTTCTGAACCTTTAGGGCCTATATTCATTTCTAAGCAAATTACTTTTAGTGAATACTCTGACGGACGGCTAAGAATCTGGGCGAGGAGCGTGGAGGGGAAGACGCTCAGCACCCCCCGCAGTCTGCCACCTTTCTTCTTCACTGCCGGGAAGCCTTCCACCTACGCCTCCACCGCTCTTCACTATACTCCTTTTGGACCTTCTACTTCAAGAGGAAACACCGAAAATCTCATTATTTATTGGGTCATAGTTATTAGTGAGCAAGGATACTGTGTATTAAAGCCAGAGGAAGCCAGCCTCCAGCCTTTCACTCTTTTCCCATGTGGTCAGCTTCTTTTTTCTCACTCTTCTGCCCCTGAAATGGAGGCCCTAGATGTTAGTGGATTAATAAGTTCTAATGCTGGACTTTGCAGACTCTAATTTAGACGCTGTCATTTCTCTGTCTCAAGTGCTTTCTGCCTTGAAGGTATCGATACCATGTTAAAACCACAATTCTGAGATCTGGCACTATATCTCCTACAAAAGTCCCTCATTTTTTTTTTTTTTTTTT